TTCAGAAATGGGGCTACAAAGTGGAATCCTTGACATGCAAGTGTGGAGAGGAGCAAACTACAGACTACCTGCTGCAATGCAACCTGAGCCCTACCACATGCATAAGGGAGGACCTTCTTGCATCAACACCAGAAGCACTCCAAGTGGCCAGATACTGGTCAAAGGACATTTAATCAACTACCAAACTCACAAATTTTGTATTTTGTCTGTTTGTTTGCTTTGTTCTGTTAGAAATGTAATATAATTTGACTGATTGTTCTGACACAACAAATAAAATCCTGTGCTATGCTAATAATATAATATATTGTATTTACACATATTTATAATATTATCTTCTATATAAATAAAAATGTAATGTTCATTTGTGGGATTAACATAACTAAAAAAAAAAACCACTGGACAAATTGACACCAAATTTGGACACAAAACACCAATCAGGCCAAGGAGTGATAATCACTCTTAAAAACACTGAAAAACACAGAAGGGACTTAAAAATCCAAAAAACAAAAAATACATTACAATACATGTGCAAGACCACACACACATATATTCACACACAAACACACACATATACACATAAACACAAATATATACACACACATATGCACACACAACACATATACATAGACTGGGCCACAGCAACGCGTGGCAGGGAACGGCAAGTAATGTAATACGATCTACTATTAATAATATATTATAATTATATATTACATGTAATATTACTAATAATATTACAATATAATGTATAGTATAATATAGTAATATATAATATTGATATTGTACTATGCTAATATCTTATAGGTGTATATATCTTGTAAGCCGCTTTGAGTCCCCTTCAGGGTGAGAAGGGCGGCATATAAACGTCATAAATAAATAAATAAGCTGAAGAGCCGGTGTTGTCCACAGACACCTCCAAGGTCATGTGGCTGGCATGACTGCATGGTCAGCTGTGACCAGCAATGCTGCCCTTACCTTCCCACTAATGCGGTACCTATCAATCTACTCACATTTGCGTGTTTTCGAACTGCTAGGTTGGCAGAAGCTGGGACTAACAGCAGGAACTTATGCCACTCCCTGGATTCGAACCTGTAACCTTTCGATCAGCAAGTTCAGCAGCTCAGTGGTTTAACCCACTGCACCACCGGGGACTCCTAGATAGATAGATAGATAGATAGATAGATAGATAGATAGATAGATAGATAGATGTGTTCCATTTTTTTGCTTGGGACTTTCCCTGCTTCTTCACATCAGGATGCATCTATTGTAGAATGAGTGTAGTTTGACCCTTCCCTCCCCACCATTGGCACAGTGGTAGGGAATCCTGAAAGTTTGGTGAGGCAACAGCACTCTTGGGCAAAGAAGGCCACAGATCATGCCAAACTAGCACTCCCTGGGTTCAGCAACATTGAGCCATGGCAGTGAAAGTGGCACCCACTTTTTATTCTGGCAGGCTTTTGAAGAACAAGGTTATTAAGAGTGTTTGAAGTATTTTTAAACTATTTTTAAATGGTGTTGTCAAAGGTTTTCATAGCCAAAGTCCCTGAGTTGTGGTGAGTTTTTTGGGCTGTATGGCCATGTTCCAGTAGCATTCTCTCCTGACATTTCGCCTGCATCTGTGGCAAGCATCCTCAATGGTTTTAAACAATTTGTACATTTAATTCTAAACGTGATTTTAAATGTTAGGCTTTTCAAATTGTCACAAGCCACTTCGTGTCTCAGTAACAGGCATAAAAGTGGGATATAAATAATAACACAGCAACCTGTTGATTTTTTTTTTTTGGTTAACTTTCCCCTGCAGCTATGTGGCAGCTTAATATAATATCAGTCTGCCAGCAAAGCACCCCTGACAGATGGCCATCTAGACTCTGCTTTAAACATGCCAGAGAAGGAGGCAGGCTGCCAGGCAGAATATTTACTTACTTACGCGATCCCTCGTTGGCCGAGTAGGATAGTCTTTCAGGATCAGTATTCATATGGGTCTGTAGGTGACTGTGGAGCCCTATTCTTGATCTGCATCTTCTTCCACAGTGAGGGCATTGGTTTCCAGGTGGAATGGAAGGTGGTCTCAGTTGGGGTTGGCTTGACGCGCCTTCCTCTTGGCATGTTTCTCTCTTTCACCCTCCATTCATGCCTCTTCAAATTCTGCAGCATTGCTGGTCACAGCTGACCTCCAGCTGGAGCGCTCAAGGGTCAGGCCTTCCCAGTTCTCAGTGTCTATGCCAGAGTTTTTAAGGTTGGCTTTGAGTCCATCTTGAAATCTCTTTTCCTTTCCACCAACACTCTGCTTTCCGTTTTTCGTTCTTGAGTTCACAATAGAGCAACTGCTTTGGGAGATGGTGGTTGGGCATCTGGACAATGTGGCCGTTTTCCGTTCTTGAGTTCACAATAGAGCAACTGCTTTGGGAGACGGTGGTTGGGCATCCGGACAATGTGGCTGGTCCAGCGGAATTGATGGCAGAGGACCATCACTTCAATGCTGGTGGTCTTTGCTTCTTCCAGCACGCTGACGTTTGTCCTCTTGTCTTCCCAAGAGATTTGCAGGATTTTCCAGAGGCAGCGCTGATGGAATCGTTCCAGGAGTTTCATGTGATGTCTGTAGACAGCCCATGTTTCACAGGCATATAGCAGGGTTGGGAGGACAATAGCTTTATAAACAAGCACCTTGGTATCCCTATGGATGTCCCTCAAACACTCTCTGCTTCATTCAGAAAAATGCTGCGCTCGCAGAGCTCAGGCGGTGTTGTATTTCTCTTGTCGATGTTGACTTTGGTGGAGAGGTGGTTGCCAAGGTAGTGGAAATGGTCAACATTTTCTAATGTTACACCAATAAACTGTATCTCTGGCATTGAAGAGGGGTTGGCTGGTGTCTGCTGGAACAGCACTTTGATTTTCTCGATGTTCAATGACAGGCCGAGCTTCTTGTATGCTTCTGCAAAGGTGTTTAGAATGGCTTGTAGATCTTCTTCTGAATGCGCACAGATGACGTCATCAGCATACTGGAGTTCTATAACAGATGTTGTAGTAACCTTGGTTTTGGCTTTCAGTCTGCTGAAGTTAAACAGCTTGCTATCTGTCCGATAGATGATTTCCACTCCGGTGGGAAGCTTCCCATCAACAAGGTGAAGTATCATAGCGACGAAGATGGAGAATAAAGTTGGGGCAATAACACATCCCTGTTTGACACCGGATTCCACCTTAAATGGGTCACTTTGGGAGCCACTGCTGTCCAAGACTGTTGCCATCATGTCATCATGGAGGAGCCGCAGAATGTTCACAAATTTGTTTGGGCACCCGATTTTTTGGAGGATGGCCCAGAGAGCGCTGCGATTCACTGTGTCGAATGCCTTTGCAAGGTCAATGAATGCCATGTACAGAGGTTTGTTTTGTTCCCTGCATTTTTCTTGGAGCTGTTGTGCAGTGAAGATCATGTCCACGATTCCTCTGGAGGGGCGGAAGCCATTCTGGGATTCTGAGAGGGTGTCTTCTGAGAGGGGCAGAAGGCGGTTTGCAAGAATTCTTGCGAGGATTTTTCCAGCTGAGGTTAGAAGGGAGATACCTCAATAGTTTCCGCAGTCTGTTCTTTCCCCTTTTTTTTGAAGAGGGTGATGATGGTGGCATCTTTGAAATCTGCTGGGATTTTCTCGGTCATCCACACTTTTTCTATGAGCTGGTGGAGTTGGTGTGTCAGCTCAGGTCCTCCCTTTTTAAAGATTTCAGCAGGGATCCCATCCAGTCCGCTGGTTTTGTTAATTTTTTTTTGTTGGTTGATGGCATTGTTGACTTCTTCCAAACTATGCAGTGCTGCATGCTCATCCCTGGTTTGTTGTTGCGGGATTTGTGAGAGAACCTCTTCAGCCACATTGGAGCTGCGGTTCAGGATGCTTTGGTAGTGTTCTTTCCAACGTAGTGGAATTGATTTTTGGTCCTTCAGGAGTTTGGTTCCATCTGATGAGCGTAGAGGCTGTATGCCATGGTTTCTTGGTCCATGGATGACCTTTGTGGCTTTGAAAAATCCCTTAGCATCATGGGTATCTGCCAGGTGTTGGATTTCTTCAGCCTTCTTTGTCCACCAGATGTTCTTGAGTTCTCTTGTCCTTCTTTGGACCTCCGCTTTTGTGCTGGCGTAGATCTTTTTCTTAGCAGCACAGTTGATGCCTCTCTGCCATGTTTGGAAGGCTTTCCTTTTCTTGTCACTCATGAACTCTTACCTCAAGATATTCTTGGTAGTGTTTAGGTCAGTAGTTCCCAACTTTGGGCTCCGAGCCTCCTTCCTCTTTATTTTATTTATTTATTTATTTATTTATTTATTCATTCCATCATTTTCACTCCTTTCCTCTCCTTTTGGTACTAAAGTTGGAGAGTGGTCCCTAGTCAAGTGGGCCCTGGTCAAATAAAAGTTGGGAACCTCTGGTTTAGGTAGAATCCCTTTTTCTTTTGCTTCAATTTGAACCCCATTGCTAGGTGTCCAACTCTCCAGGGCAGCAGGAAACAAGCTTGCCCCCTCCTCCATGTGGCATGCTTTGAAGGAAGAGGGGAATGTCCTCAATTGCTTGTGTGAGGTGGGGGGGGGGGTAGAGAAAGGGCAGGAGGTGGCTAGGGGGCCTTTGTTCCTGCTCGGGGGACGTGTTGCTCGTGGGCCTGGCTGGGAGGCGCGTGCCCCTTTAAGAGCGCGGGGCCGGCCCTGAGCGCACAATGGCCCGCCTGGCCGGTCGGGCGCGCGCGCGTGGGATAGGCTGCCTTTGGCAGGGATGGGCTGGGAGGAGCCCTCCCGCATCTGCGAACTCTGGCTGGGAAGGAGAGGTGAGGAGGGGGGGCCCGGCCAGGAGGAGGACGAGGACGAGGACGAGGAGGAGGGAGCCCGAGCAGGCGCCTTCGCAAGCCCGGCTCCGAGGAAAAAGAAAAGTTTGCACCTTTGGGAAGGAGAGGAGGAACTGGGGCCACACACGCGCCTCGGGACGAGCAAGGCGGGCGCTCCGGTCGTCTCCACACACACACACACACACACCCCGCGTCTCACCCGCTTTTTGCACAGTTTTTCCCCGTCTTTTGGACTTGGTGCTGCTAGGGTTGCAGCGAGGGCCCGCGCGATGCCCCGGAAGAGTATCGTGGAGGTGAAGGTGCTGGATGTGCAGAAGAGGCGGATCCCCAACAAACACTATGTAAGTCCGCGCGGGGGGGGGGGGGGGGGAGAAGGAAGGGGCCGGGCGCCCCACGAAGGGCCAGCGCTCGAGGCGAGGGCCTTGGGGGAGCCCTCTGGGGCAAGGAAGGCGCAAGGGCTTGCAGAACCCCCGGGATTGCACAGCATTGGGCCAGGGTAGTTCAAGGGGGCTCGTCCTCCAGGGTACTTCTGCAGGCCACTTGGGGCTCCTGCCATGGAAAAAAGGAAGGGTGCTTCCCAGTGCCTGTGAATACTCGGTGCTTCAATGTGGGCTCCCCTCCTTCCCTCTCTGGACCCCAGTCGGGAATGGCTGGACTTGGAGGTCTCTTTGCAGAGCCTCGGTTGGAACTTCCTCGCCAGCCAGCCAGCCAGGCAGGAAGTCCTTTCTGCCTTTCCTCGCGTGTTGTTGGCTTGACAAAGGCAGGGCTGGACTATGGAGCAGCCCATCAGTCATACTCCCAGCGCTTTGGACACGGCATGGGGAGGGAGGTTTACATCTGGTTTTTAAAGTTTCCTTCCCAAAAAAGGGAGGGAGGGAGGGAGGGGGAGAGAAACAAACGTTGTAAGGGGGAATCTGGAAAGCAGCTGCTCTCCTGGCATGAAAATCCATTGTAGGGTTGTTTCAGAAAAGAAGGGGCAGATTCCCAGTCAGATTTATATTCCCATCCTTGAATTCAGTGGCTTGGTTTCATGAACAAAGCAGTGACTGAAGACTGGCAGGTTGGAGATTCGAATCTGGGAAAGTGTGGATGAGCTCCCTCTGTCAGCTCCAGCTCCCCATGCGGAGACAGGAGAGAAGCCTCCCACAAGGACGGTGAAACATCAAAACATCTGGGCATCCTCTGGGCAACGTCCTTGCCGACGGCCAATTCTCTCACACCAGAAGCAACTCAAGTCACACCTGACACACACACACACAAAGACAAAGCACCCCCCCCTCCCCCCCAACACACACACTATATGTGCTTGGGGAAGAAGTTGGCTTAGGATGCATCGGTACCAGTGGCTCCCAACCTGTGGTCCATGGACCACCAGTGGTCCACAAGGATGAAAATATGGTCCATGGCCTCACCATCACCAAAACCACACACAATGAGAGTGACTGGCGAAACCTTCTTATAGTGCCAAGGCAACAGGGATGTCGGGAGGGGAGAGGCAAGAAAACCTGTGGCTCTGCCCGTGCTTTGCGTGCCGACTTTGCTTTATGAAGATAGTTTTGGGTGGTGGGAACTTGGCAACAGTGTGTCAAAACTGCCAGATTTTGTCTGCAGCGTTGTGTCCTTTGGGGCTGGAGACTGGCAGGCTGGATGCTGCAGCATGTCACTCTGACTAAAGCAGAGGTTGTCTGCTGAATAATAATAATAACGCATCCCTCCTCTCATATGCTTTCATCTCCCGCTGCTAAATATCTTGTCTGTTCTATGATCAGTCTTTGGTTAGGTTCTCAGCTTAGTAAATATACATTTTACAGTGTGTGGTCTATACTTCGTCACCCTCTCCTTCCCCCTTTCCAGGAGTCTTGCAACTTAATTCTATGACATAAATCCAGAGTTATATTTAAATCACAGAAATTGGGACCAAAAAGGGTTAGAACTGTGGCAATGGGACTTTGGCGACTGAAGATTGTGTTTGTACATATGGGAAGTTGGTTGATAGGGAGAATAATGCAAACTGGAGAGGAGACAGCTAGGATGCAGAGGAGAACAAGGAGTGAATGGTAGCAGAGGGAGATACAAGAAGCAGAGAATACATGCCTCCTAACTTTATGCCTTTATGTGATCCAGTAAGCTATTGCTGTGTTAATGAATGCAAGAAATGCAAATAAGTAAGGTGATAATTTCCAGTGCACCTCATTGTGTGGAGATGGCTGCATATTTTTCCACTTGACTGAACTCTTAATGATCAAGTGGCTTGTTTTCTTTTCTAATAAATGGCAATGAAGGTCCAGGCATCTGGGAGGATTTTCAGGCATCATGTATGCTTACTTATACATCATCATTATGGTATGCTAGAAAAGGCTTGAGTGATCTAGTTTGTTTTTTCTACATTTAGGTTCACCAAACAAGGCTCAATGTGAAATGGAGGTACAGTTGGGACTTACGTACACTTACATTTAAGTTTTTTTGATTGACTTTATTCATCTGTAGTGCAATTTCCCGCTTATCCTACTGCCTTACCAAGCATTATGTGTATGTCCAACATATACATTGAATTGTAATAAAATGCTGTTTTGCCTAACTTCTTGTTAATTGGAAACCATTCCGTTTTTCCATATTCTGTCCTCATGGTAGTCTCTTATCCTGAGTACAGGTTTTTCATCAGAACAATTAAATGTTGTGACATATCAATTACATTAAGATTCATCTATAGTTTTTCCTGATCTGTACAATCAAAGTCTTTGCTATAATTTGTAAAGCTCAAGCTGCTTTTAAAAATTATTCAGTGTGCTTCATTATCCAATATATGTTTGCAGTATGATCCCTATTGTCTGTTCCTTTTCTTAACCCACTTTGGACATCTGGCATTTCTTGTTCCATATGTGGAGAAAGTCTTTGTTGTAGAATTTTGAACATCACTTTGTTTTCATGGGAATTTAATGCAGTAGTTCTCTAGTTATTGCAATTCCTGGTGTCCTGTTTGTTGGGGACTGGAATGTATATTAAGTGTTTCCAATTTGTGGGTCACTGTTTTGTTTTCCATACATGTTGGCATAGTTTAGTAAGAACTATAGTAGAGCCTATCTCTGTAGCTTGGAGCACTTTATTAGCATCTCATCTGTTTTCAGTGACTTGTTTCTCCCAAGTATCCTGAGATCAGCTTCTACTTCACTTTCTAATATTGTAGGTTCGTCTTCAAATTGTTCTTCCTTGAATGAATCTGTCATCCTCTAATCTCTTTTATATAGTTCTTCATCTATAGTTCTTCATCTATAGTTTCCATTGGCATTTTATTTCTTCTTGGTCATGTAATGCATTTTCCACTGGTTATACAACCATGTTACCACTCATAGTTTAAAAGTCCTATTGATTTGTTGGATCTTGTAAAAATCTCTCTCGTTTCCCCTTTTGGTACTATTCTATTATTTGGGTAGAGGCCATAAGGAGACCTAGACAAAGGATAGTCAATTTTATTGGGGGGAGGAGAAGTTGGGGGTTGAACAAGGTAAACCACTTCCCTCTGTTTTCCTGTTATTCCCCCACCCATGTCATCATCATTGAAACAACAGTTGTTTATGACATGGGAAGTGGGGGAAGGGGGTGGTTACCAGTGAAGATGGGAAATATTGTTTTCCTCCTTCAACTCCTCCACCCCCCTTACCTGTACAATGGACTATCCTTCTCTGTCTAGGCCCCTTTTGGGTCCTTCCTTTTGTTGTCATCTTCTCTGCATTGATTATTACAATAGTTCTCTTTGGTCCTGTTTCTGTCCCATTTTCCTTTCCATCTGTCTTTAATTTCTTGAAGAGCTTCTTCTGTCATCTATTGAGACTTCTGTTTCTTTTTGGCTTTTTGTATTCTTCCATGTCTGTATTCCTGGTTTCAGTCCAACATTATTTTGGCTACTGGTCTGTTGAGATTAATAGTGCAAATCTTTTTTTGTTTGCATTATTTTCAAAATCAACAGGGATATTCTTCAAGTTTTTCTTTAACTTTATTCATTTTTTTGATATCAGTAGTTCAAGGTCTAGGCCGCAATTTGTTCCTGGCCTTGTTTTACCAAGAGACTAGGGCTTTTCCATCTTCTGCTTCCAATTATGTACTGCAATTGGTTTCTATATTGGCCATGAGATGATGTCCATGTATGCAGTTGGCTCTCTTTGAGTGCTTGAAGATATCTTGGCAATAAACGAACTGTTGGCCTCTCAAAATTAAGTTGTTTGTTCTTCTCTTCTATTTATGATCCTAGGGAAATGTTCCTACAATCTTTGCTCCTCCTTTCTTTCTCACTCTTGCATCCCAGTTACCTGTGTTTAACAAGTTCTCTTTGGTATGTGAGTAGCTTCCTTCTGGAGTCCACCATAAAGTCATTCCATTTCTTCTTCTACCTCTTTAGCTGGTGTATCAACTTGGATTATGGTTCTGTTGATAGGTTTTCCTCGAAATCTTAGAGATATCATGTGGTCTGTCTTTACATTATATCTTTTGACTGTTTTTGCTATCTCTCTTCTCGCTGTTAAATGTCACCCCATTTCTTCTTAGATTGTCGTTTCCTGAGTAAAAACTGTGTCGTTATCTGACTCAGTATATCCCATTCCTGTCCACTTTAGTTCACTTATCCCAAATTTTGCAATAATGTCACCAGTATTGTTTTACTGTGTCTAGCTTCCCCTGATCTTGACTCTCACATTCCATGTTCCTGTATGTTGTGCAACTTTGGAGTTTCCTTTTGCCTCTAGCATGGTAACATCTGAATGTACTTTCTACTTGTTTCCGTTAGTCACAGTGCTATTCATTGTTGTCCTCTACGGTATCCCAGTAGCTTATTAAGTGTCTTCTGACTTGGGAGCATCATCTTCTGGCACTATTTTTTGTTGAATTTTGAATTGTCTCTTGATAGGATTTCCATGGTAAAAGACATTCAAGATGGTTTAGTGTTCCTTCCTCTTCTCAGTACTAACAGGAGATCATTTACCAGTTCTGCACTTCAATGGCTATTTGACACACAAAAGCCTTCTGATATGGGAGATCCCACCAACAGTAGTGCTACCAGAAGTATAGTCTCATGTCTCATAGGAGCACAAAATTTCACACCATGGAAAAATAGTGCCAAGATGAGAAAATGTCTTATATGAACATGCTTATTCCATGGAATTATTTTCAGGACCACATCCAAGCTCATTTCTGTTCACCCTGGCTTAATTTGCTTCAGCATATTTTTATGGCATGGGGACTTGTGGACAGGGTGTGTGTGAGAGAGAGGAGGAAAGCCTTTTTGAAGTTATATTTGTTTAAGTCACTGGGATGTAGAAACATCTGCTAATCTAGTGCAGATCAACCAGTG